CATAGTATCGTAGAGTATCATATAGTGTCATGTAGTGGAATATAGCATAGTATCGTAGAGTATCAGGGATCATCTGTCAGTGTCGCAAGCTCCCGAGTTGAAGTGCTTCGAGGTCTCTGGACCGAGTGGACCTACATCGGCAAGGCTACAGCGGACGGTCGTACGACGCTTCTCTGAGCCCTGACGGCAAGAAAGCAAGGTTCAGCGATCCACCAGCTGGCTGCACCCAGAAAAGCTCAGGTGCCAGGTGCCGAGAGCAAGATAAGCCTGCTCAAAACACCCAAACCCTGAGACCCTGAACCAACTTGAACCCCTGAAGCCCTGAAGCCCTAAACCCTAAACCCTAAACCCTGGACCAAAGAACCAGCAACTTTCGGCCCGAGGTCTTTCGCCTGAGACTCTGATGGAGGTCACGCGCTTGCATCGCGTGCCTCGGCTCTGAAAGTGTGGGCTTCTCCGCTTCTCTCGGAGAGGAGCGGAGGCGAAAGCCCTGAACCCTAACTCCCAATTCCAAAACGAACAAAGAAGCAGAAGTACATGTGTACTTGTACATGTGTGTGTGTGTGAAATGCATCCCTGTGGTCCTCCCCGAGACAGCGGGGCTGAGCTCCTGGATTGGGAGTGGCAGGGATGAGTTATCTACATAGCCCTACTCCCCCCCCCGAAGCAAGAAGGACCAAAGGGGCGAGAAAGCACGGACCCAAACCCTAAACCGGCTCCTTTAATGGATTGGAATGCCCTGGCGAATTATCAGAAGCCGCATAGCTTGGGAACTCCCAAAACATCGTCACGAAGACATCCTTTCTGGTCCATGTAACCATACTTAGGGGATTCGTGGAAAGTTCCGGCCATTGCGATTCGTGATTCAATATCTAGGGGTTTAAGGTTTAGGGCTTTGGGTTTAAATTTAAGCGTTTACGGTTTGAGGTTCAGGGATCAGGCTTCAGGATTGTAAACGTGTCTCCGCAGCTGTTCAGAATCCCTACGGGCTCATGTACGTAGTCGATAACTTGCCCGTGAAATAGGCTCCTGCATACGTACTTTACATTATCCAGCAATCAACCAGGCAAGGACAAATCTCAATGGAAGAAAAATCCTTGTAACACTAGCAGCAGCTATCAACATAGTGACCCGAAAGATGTCGATGATGATTGCTAGTTGTGCATTCCGGGCATCCTTTGGCATCAGAGAAGCGCACACCATATGGGGACCCCCTTTTGGGTTCCCAGTAGAGTAAGGCACCCTTATAAAAAGATATAAAAAGGACCCTAAAAGGGACCCTTATTTAGAGAACTACCCATATCAGTCATCGCTTACAGAGATTGCAGATTCAGTATAATGTGAAATGTCTATTTGGAGACACACTATCGTACTGTACTTGTACGTGCAACTGGAGGTGCCGGAAGTAGGTAGGAGCAACCATAATAAACCCTAAACCAGAAACTGAGCCGTTGGGAGGCGGCCACTGCCGAGCTGATCCTTTATGCCAGGCCGGCAGCTTTCCGGGGGATTCGGGGTTTGGTCACTTCTCCCTTTTGGGGAGCGGGTAACGTAGGGGCCGTAATACTTACCTCTATTCTTTTGGGGATTCCTTATTATAGTTATAGTATAATGGGCACCAAAACCTTATTCTAATTATGAAGGCCCCTAAATTAGGGTGAGAGGAATGAGGCGGGAGGCTTGGAGGTAGGCTTTCCCCTCCGGGCGATGGACTCGCGATGTGGCTGCCGAGCGACCAGCGTCGCATGAAGAGAGGCTCTAAGTAATGTCAAAAGACCTGAAGAACTAGTTAACTGAGTCCCTAGATATTTAGTACAAAGACCAACAAACCCCTCTTCTACTCCACCCCTTCACAATCCTCCGGGCATCCCCAAAAGCCCTAACGCTTAAACCCACGATGTTCCCCAGCTCGGGCTTTGTAGTCTTGCGGTGAGGTGGTGCGTAGGTATCATCTGACCCTTCGAACAGTTTGGGGCTAGCGGCCCCAACACCAATACCTCAACTCCTGTGTCGCTACCTGCCATTCAGGCTCTTCGTGAATGCTCTCAAGGACATCCCCGAGGAAGACCGATCGGATCTACCCGTCCCTATGGACAACATCAACTTTTGAGACTCCCGGGAAGGGCAACTTAGCCTTGCCAGAGTTCCAGCTTGCTCTAAGAAGGTTTAGGGTTTAGGGTTTAGGGCAGCCGGGGGGGCACATTCGAGTCGCCCTCCTCTGCCGTCGCAATACCGGCTGAATCTTGATGCTGCGCCAGGCTCTTTTTGTCCCTTTTCGCCAGTCCCGAGGGTGCAGGGTTTCAAGTTATCTCCCAAGACTGGGTGTTAGGTTAGGGCCCCTTGATCAGGGTCTTTATATCAAGAATCCTCAGTAGGGCCCTCAACCCGAAACCCTAAACCCAATTTTCTACAGGGGTCTACACCACTGGGGGCCCTTCTGTGTGTAAACCCTAAACCCTAAACCCTAAACCCTAGACCCTAAACCCTAAACCCTAAGCCCTAAATATCCCTGTGCCCGGCTTGTGCTGGCCACGGGCCCCCGGAGTGGGGGCTTCCGCACAGATTTGGGGGCCGGCCATTGGCGCCCGCGAGGGAGGAGAGGGCAGGGAGGGGGGTCTCGCTAAATGTAGAAGGGTTTAGGGTTTAAGGTTTGAGGTTTGGGGTTTAGCACCAAGAAGCGGGTGACTTTCGGTTCGGTTGGGTTCGATTCGGCTCGGCTTCCACAGCCGGTCTCAACTCTTTGATTCCTCGCGGTTCGAGGTTAGAGTCGTGTGGTTCCTTTTGCTCCAGTGTTTTTTTTCTGTTCGGTTGGGTTCGGAAGCCGAGAAAAAACGGATTTCGGGCACGAGAACAGGAAGGTTCTGTTGCCTCAAGTAATCGGTGACGACAGCTCCCAGGATCGACATTCAGAGATTACGTCATCCAACCCTCCTTCCTTGCGGAAGGGTTTTGAAGGCCAGGCGATGCCTCAGAGAGGTCGCCTGGCAGCGATTTCGCTTTTGAATGCGAGCAGCGGCAGCCAGAAGATCCAGCGATCTCAGAACCATGCTTTTCGATTAGGATCTCAAAGAACTTCTAAAGTGTTTCCATAGGCAGATTTTGAAACACGACACCCCAAGGATCCCAAGTGCCCAGACGAAACCCAGAAGGGCAAAGCATGACACGCTCCGCGTCATACATATACTGCAGAGGTCTCAATGCTTAAACATTGTATCCGCGGAGAGTGCACAGTTAATGATTGCACCCCGAATGCCACTGCTGCTTATTCAGGCTCCTATATGCTCCCATAGTGCACGGTAGTACCGCCCATCACTCTGAGCTTGCTGTTCGATGCCGCTGCGGCTGTAGATACTACATTGCAGCCCCTGTGCCCGTTTAGTGTTTAAGGTCTAGGGCCTAGGGGTTGGAGTTTAGGGTTTAGGACTAGGGATTGACATGTTTGGGCACCATGGTTGTGCAGCGTCACTTGGCGGTGTCTCCAGGGCAAGGTCATGACGTGGAACCGCAGGACTAGCACCTCTAAGCCAGCATCCTAATCTAGACGAACACATTGCTCAATCTACACTCCAAGGTCCTCTAAATATCTGCCAGCAATTATGGACACCGAGCTTAGTAAGAGTTCCAAGACGTTTCTATAAGCGCCCACAAGGCTACAAACTGGCAGACTCTAGCGTAAGTTTGTCTCCCCCACTGACACCGAGCGGGCCTGCGCTGCCCGTAGGCTGAGGCCCCGCTCCGAGAGGGGTTTTGGCAGCCGCCGACGGAAGCCAAAACCCCCAAGCCTGGGTTCAAGTAGTCGGAATCTAGTTGCATATCCCTAAACCCTAAACCCCACACCCTGAACCCTAAACCCTCCCTATATATCAGAAAGCATCAACAACGATCTCTATTCTGACAGCAAGAGCCCAGGGCAAAGCCCCTCCCCCGACCCCCATCGACCTGCAGCCCTTGCAGAAAAAGCGGGTGGCGTTCGGTAAGGTGCCCAAAAAGCGGACCTAGAGGATGAAGGGGCTTAGTAAGGGTTCCGTAAGGGTGTTAATTTGAGCGTACAGGGGGTTTAGGCGCTTTGTGTCTAATGCTTACAACGCAGTAAGTAGGTTGATAGAGTAGGTACGCATGAACCCTCGAGTCATTGAACTCCGACAAACCTGTCAACAGAGAAGCCGAGCAGATCTTTGATGCGACAGGGCTAGATGCGGGGCGTCTCTTTCTGTCACCTCGGCCAAAGCCCTAAAACTCCAAACCCCAAGCCTTGAACTCGTAACCCCCAAAGCCCCTAAACCCTGACGCCCTGCAGCCATCCGCACCTCGGTAGCTCGCGACATGGCTCAGGCCCTGTCAGCCCCACTCTCAGCCGCATCCCGTGAAGTAGGGCTTAGGATTTAGATCAGCACGGTTTTCGGTGGGGATACCAGGATGACACCCTGATTCATGTAGGGCAACCCTCATACCCCCCTGCGGGGCCGGAGGAGAAGCTGCCCCAGTACGGCTCGCCCTACCTGCTCCTCGCCAGCAGAGAACTGCAGCCTTCACGAGTTTTGCCAGCGCTTTCGGGCTTGTGGCCGCCTGCGTAGACCCGCACCCCTAAACCCCGGTGCTCCATTGAACCCGGAGCCGAAGCCTGAACCTCCACTTATCCTGGGTTCCTCTTAAGATACTTAGTTTAACTTACCAGAATAGGGGTTCTTTATTCTGGTAACTTAAATTACACCCCTTAACAAGAACCCAGTATCCGAAGCGAAAGATGTGAAGGACTTTTTCTCATGCTTCCGGTGCAGGTGCTATCCGATGATCGCCCTGAAAGCTCCGGACGGAGCGTCGCTCGGATGCAGTGCGACCTAGCCTGCCTGCACCGGCTCGGCCGTCGAAACCGGCAGACCAGAAGCCCTGCAAGCGCTTCTGTGTGCGTTCTGTTGTGGAACTTGCAAAAGCTGCTTAGGAGGCAAGTTTGCGGCGAAAGCCTTTCTAACAAAAGCGCTTGCCAAAACACAGGCAGCCGACGCCAATGGTGACTTGGCTTCAGAGAGACTCAGGGTGCATCGCGAACGCTTCAATCCGGTGAGAAAACCATGCATGCCGGTGAATCCCATGTCTCAGGTCTCGTCGGTTCCAGTGGCCCCGGCTTTGCTGGCACATCTCGCGCCGATGGAGCCTCCGACAAGGCCGTGCGCTTCCGGGAGCCGTGGTAGATTTATTTACAGCCCCTGAAGCTCTCGGAAAGTAAATCCTCCGCAGAGTTTGCAGATAGCTCTGTTTTCTGAGATCGATCCCTCCTGACCAGGGCGAACCGCCGCTGCGACCAAGCGAAGCGCTTCCTCTGAGCCCCAGATGTTTCCAACCAGCTGCTTTAGGGTGAAGGTCGTCTATTGTGGGTCCTATATAGGGGTCGGACTACGTAATGATGGTATCCCTCCGCAGTCCCTCCGTCCCTCCATAGTTATGGTATAATGTAACCCGCAACCCTCTTCGAGTTGTTACGGCCAGTGTGTAGCCGTGTCTGTTGTGAGCGCAGTAGGATGTCGTTTCGATGTGTTGGGGTGGTTAGTCGTTTCTGCGGCAGATGACAGTGGCCCAGCGACAGTCTGCCTCTGTGACGCAGAATGCTAGGAAAAGGAAGCGTGCGAGGACTCGGGCTTGTCTAAGGTTAAGTGTATTTTTGTAATATAAAGTAGATTGTATGACAATGTACAAGCGTGTAGAACAATGCATATCATAAAACATCACTTTCCACACCTGAGTTCTGGAGCTCGAGCCAGCCTCTCCTGTGCCCATCTCCGACGATGCGAAGGTCTCGACAAGCACAAGTTTCCAAGCCTTCGCTGAGCACCGAAGCCTAAGCCCTAAACCCTAAACCCTTTTTGAAGTCCTCTGTCAGGCTTCGGAGCCTGCTGAGCTGTGACCTCGGTGATTCTCGGAACATAGGAGGGGGCCGGAGTTTTCGATACTGGAGAGTGGAGGGTAAGTCTACGGCTGCGTGAAGCAGGGCATCTTGAGCTCTCTGGCATGAGTTTAGGGACGCGGACCTCGAAGATCAGGCTTTGGGGAGCACTAGGATAAGCCAGGCCTTTCTCATACATATGCTTGGCTATTCAGCAGTTGCACATATTAGCAAGTGATTCCTTCGTTGCAGGTCGCTTAAGATGTGTAATCTTCACATCACGCTCGGAGCTCTTAAGATGCATATGTCTGATCGGGAGTTGTGGATTTGCAACCTAGCACCGGGAGGTTGCCTCTCGAGCTGCGATACACAGAGGATGCACCGTAAACTTGAACACCCCCTCAGTTGACCCAACCCGAAACCCCATAATCTCGAAGGGAAACTTGAAGACTCCAGGTCCCCAGCGGCCTGTTCGACCGCGGCCGGTCCCCTGCCGCCGCCAGGCAAGTGGCACACGGGGGTTTCGAAAATGGGTGACCCTAAAAAAGTACCTGAACTGTAGGCTCCCTATTATAAGGACCCCCAACATAAGGTACCCCTTGTTTTCGGAAGCTCCCACACATGTGTGCCTCACAAGCCCGCATGGTTAGCGGAGGTGCCAGCTCTCCCACCCCAGACCAAGAGATCTTTTGCACCTGCTTCTTGATGGCTCAAGCTGCAGACTACATTGCAGGGCAAGTCGAGGCACCCACCCTTACCCAGTAAGAGTATCTTAAAGGCTTTCGAACTGATCCACCTCTGGACGAGGAGTTCGTGACTATGGTGGCCACGAGGCACAAAGGCACTTGCGCTATTTCGCCCATGTGGGACACGACGACAGGTCGGCCCAGGTAAAGGTGCCGCACGGAATCCAAACAAGCTAGCCTGCCGCTTGCAGGACTAGGCGGTTATGGGAGGAACAAGATTCACCCCCAAAGGTCACGGAAAGGGTGGGTTGCCCATGCCCAACCGCCCTCAACCCCAACCCCAAAGTCCCAAAACCGCATAACCCAAAGCCCCGAACCCTCAAGACCCCTGCAAGTCACCAAGCTCCCTGCCTAAACCCCAAACCCTCAACCCCCTGAACCCTAGCTTCCTTTCCTGGTCTTCCGGCCCATGGCGTAGTTCGACCGCGGAGACATGGCATCGCGGCCAGAAGCCACGTGCGTACTGGGCTTCCCGGAGCAGCCATCCGAGTTGGGGGTTCCCTATTATAGTTATAGTATAAAGAGCTCCAAAACCCTATTCTAATGATTTAGGTAATGATACTTTTTTGGCGGAGACTTGCAGGAGTTTTAGGTGTGGGGTTTAAGGAGAATACCGAGCAGCAATGATGAAGTGGGGTTGTGTGTCTCTTCTAATTGGCATTGTTCTACTTGATCCATACTTTTTCGGAGGCGCCTGTCTGTCTGCTGCGCTCGAGTCATCGTGTGAGCAGTGACCTTGTGAGGCGGCGTTTCGTCCAGCACACAAGCAAAAACCCCAAGGGAAGCGTGAATCTGAATGTGCAAAGACTTCCGAACTTCCGAAGAAGTCCTTGCAGGAGTCCAGCCTCGAATCCTTCCAGGGGATCCTACCCAGAAAAGACCGGTGCAAGCAGCCATCTCAGTCGCACAGTTTGCAAAAGCGAAGCCGAGGCTTCTGGCTGAGCTGGCTCTGCATGCTTTCGCTGGCAAAGGATTTCACTCCATGGCTCCAGCCGCGGTCTCGGATGAAGACTGCGTGGCTGCTCCTTGTAGGGGTTCTGGATTGCAGTGTTTCGCCGGCTGCGCACGGGTACGAACGAGGTGTAAGTGGCAATCTCCAACTTGCCATGTTCAGTTCAGTGTCTCTAAGGCCGAGCAGTCACACCCGAAGCTGCACGCAGATGCAGGCCAGCAAATCGTGCCCATAGTAGGCGATTCCTGCACGGCTATTCGGCTATTCGTTGAGGCTGTCGACTCAGGAGCCGTAAGCTTAACAATCATCGGAACCTGAGTGGGTAAATCAGCTTCAACATCCTGGGTGGAACGAACACACCTTCAAACGCTGCTTTGCCTGCCTGAACCCTGAACCCTCAAATTTTGAGCCCCTAGACCTCAAGCCCCTAAACCATATGCCTTATATTCTGTCCGAAACGCCTCTAGATTCTATAGCACTATAGAGACCCTGATAGACATGTTGAGAGCAACCCTCACGTGTCCTTATCCCATACGCACCGAGCAGTTTTGTTGGAATCAAAGCCTCGAGGCAAGGCGATTTAGTCGCTACTCGCGCTCCTTGCGGCAGCCTTGGCTGGGCTTCGCTGAGTTTGGGAAATTAGGGGGAGGGTCAGATCGGATTTTTGGGGCTTCGGGCTTCGGGGTTTTGGGCACATTTGTTTAGTGGCTCTGGTGGCTTTAGACGGCGTCTGGTTTTCTCAGCTGGCAAAAATTTCCATGGCGGAAGATTTCACGCCTGGAGGAGTCAGGTGGAGACAGTCGGACAAGGAGCTTTGCTACAGTCCGGTTCAGCTCCTCGCAGAAGCCAGCCCTGAGACTCTACAGGGTAGCAGGAAATGGGATTCCTCATGCACAAAGCCTTCAGGGAATGTCGGCTTCCCCACCCTCGTGTGCCAGGCGCACTGCTGGCAACACACTGCGCCCCGGTGACAGGCAACCCCCGGGGACGATATAGGTTTGTTGCACATGGTGTGGCAGGTTTGGAGGAGTAGCAGAGCGATAGCACGACTACGACGGGAAGACATCTTAAATCCGTTAGCAATGCTGTAAGCGCCGATTTGAGTACGCTGCATGGTTTGAGTAAGTTGCATGGTCGTAGCAGTTGGCCTGACTGACTGATTGTTCTGAGCTACACCACTTCTTTGCAATCGCCAAGCCTTATCGGGCACGAAAACTGGTCAAGGCAGGGCGACTGTTCTGCAAATTGGCATGAGAAGTCTTCAGACCCGCCAAACAAGAATCAGCAAAGACCGCGCTGTGGCAAGGGACCTGTGCACCAGGCAGCATCTCCTAGCCGAACTGCCGGGTGAGGTCGATCAGCGGGCTCGGGCACCCGGCTGGAGCGCGAGCATGATGAGAAGCACCCCTGCGGTGGGGGATTTACTCCAGCCCGAGGTCTGAGAATGGAGATTCTGTTCCTTCTGAGGTGTCGGACCTCCTTGGCCATTTCGAAGAGGCGGGGCCGAGTGATGGGCGATTGCCCGGCAATTCCGAAGATGGAACGAAGAGAGCGACGGAGCTCGAAACTCCTGAACACGCAGAACCCAAGAGTCTCAGTCCTGTGTGGGATGCCGCCGCGAGGCTTATGCCGCGCCCGACTTTTCGCCGCAGCAGCTGAAGGAGAGACTTCTGGGCTCAGAAATCCTTCCGCGGCATGTTTGGTCTTTGGTCGAGGGCTAGGTTTGCGGAGTCTGGGCCCTTGCTTTGGTGATCCTTTTGCCGAGTCCAGCTCTGCGGAGAGGCGGCTTCCCAGCATGCCACGTGAGAGTATTGGCATCATAGATGCTAAGCAGTAGGATCCAAGTACGAGACCCTTAATCTCGAACAGGAACACATGTTAAGTCCCAGGAACCTGTGCATCGAGAGCTGCAGCACCATACCTCCCTGACAGTTCAGAGATGCAAGTCGAACAGTTTCGAAGCCTGCCGGTTCCGACCTAAACAGTTGGGAAGCGTTCTGTCTTCTAGTGCTGCGCCGGTATTGTGTCAGTGGCCATGAGTGCTTTCTTCTTCATACGCCAACGCCGAGGAGGAGTACAACACGTACTTCAGGCAGCTGCATGCAGAGCTTCGGGTTGGGGTCATGGTAGGGTGTTTTTTTGTGTTCTAGAGCCCGCGTTGGTTCCCTTCCGTGAGGCTGGCCGACGACACAGCCTCCCACCAACCAGCCCACCAGCGTCGATCCCAATGCAACCTTAATCCCAAAGCGATCGGCCAGCACCTACGAAAACCCTCCTCCTCAAACCTTGAAGTCTGCCCCGCCTTCCAAACTTCCGCAACCTTGGAAAGGCCGCAAGCGGCGAGCCAGGCGTGGCAGGAGCTCTCGCCGAGAGGCTGCGGCAAGCCCGAAATTCGCCCACTTAAGGGTGAACGGTTCAGAGGGTTTAGGGTTGCATGTTGCAGTAATGATGTTAGCAGAGTGAAGTGTGGAACAGTAGTAGCAGAAGGAAGCAATCGTAAGAACTGAACATCGGTGTCGTGATGGGCATACTAAAAGGCAGAGACTCTCCCGGCCACTTTCAAGCGTTGGCTCAAGGAGCGGATCTTCAACGGATGCAGGGATGAATTCGAGATGCACTGAAAGCGCAAATCCAGTCCCCATGAAAGAGAGCAAAAGCAAAAGTAGCGTACGTTTCTCCCAAGGATTATTGCCGAGATGGAATGGCCACATCCAGCTTTGGGCAGCTCAAACAGATTGTCAGCCTGTCACACTGCCGTCATTTTTACTGGGCGACCTCTCTCCACATTCGCGAGGAAGCCGTCGAGCTTTTCCGCATCGCTGAGATCTACCCAACTCTGCGATCAACGGTGTTTGTGGTCCTGTGTTGGCCTGGAGCAAAAACAATGGCCGTACACTCGTTCAAGGCCTCCACACGTGATGAAGCAAACAGACTCGTGGAGCAGTATGATTTGGACGACCTTATTTTGAGCCCTGTCCTGTCACTCCTCGATATTGCTATCGTCTCGGGAGACACGCCCAAAGCCATCCTTATCCACAACATCGGTGTTCCGCAACTATGTCATTTCTACCTCCCTGACTTTCTGGACCCATTTAGGCGCATTGCAGACTGCCGGACCACGCCAGCCATCACGACAGCGTACCAGCTGTGCAAGCCGCTATTCTGCAGACTGTGTGCACATGACGAGTTACTTGGGCGGGCAATTGCTGACAGCCAGGACTCCTTGTCGGCTTTGCTCGTCCTCAAGGGTGACAGTGAAGCTGCTAGGCAGAACTCTGGGCACTTTCTCTTCCGCATCTGGACCCTGAAACCCGCTCGCAGGCATTGCCAGCTTGCATTGAGGATGGACCGCCTCCTGCACGTCGTTGACCTCGGCATAGATATCCGCCCGCTGGTTGTGGATCCCTGTCTTGCACTGCACTATGCATGTGTGAGGCAGCGCTCTTATGCGATCCGGAACAGTATGCTAACTTTTTTCTACGTTTCGTTGCTTCCGAGTCTGGAGTATGAGGTTTTACAGCTTCCTGAGAAGCGGCCGCCGAAATGGAGGGCTGGGCAGACATTGCTTGAGATGGCTATCCGCTGCGGCCAGCTTGATGCGACACGGTACTTGACGAATGCACATTGCGATGCGACTGGGCTGACAGCAAGCGATCTGACAGGACCTATGTTCCATCAGCAGTTCGAAGAAGATGATTTGATTCGCAACACGACCATCAACAGAGATGTCGGAGCTGCGGAGGCGGCACGTTTGGCTTACCACCTTTGCAGGCATCGATACCAGATCGTGATCGTGCAGATGGCTCGGTGGTGGTCGCGTGGAGATGGCGGGGTTTGCGTGTCTTTCAGCAGAGTCGTTGACCACATCGCTGCCTTTGCTCTTGCGGTGCCTGCACTACCTGAGATTCTACAACTTCCTCGACCTTTGGGAACTCGCCGTGCTGCGAAGCGAGCTGCTTACCGCCGTCGACGTGCAGGGCAACACGCTGCCACCACTCAGCAGGCGGTGAAGTCCAGTGTGCAAGTGAACGGGTGCAGAGAGGAGGTTGCTCCAGAGGTGATTCAGGAGGTCGTGCACGAGTCCCAGGAGGTGGCGGCCTTCATTTCTGAGGATGTGGCTGAGGCCACTTCGCATGCCCTTTGGGAGTCCGCAGTGGAAATGAGGGTTGCCAAAGGCACTGCTACCGGCACCGGTCCTGAGGCAGGAACTGCTTCATGCCAGGCAACCGAAAGGATCTACCTTGGCAAGCTCAACCGAATCCCCAAAGAGCTGCTGGGAGAGCTTGCTGCGGGTCCAGCACTCCAGCCCTGCCGCCGCGGGCTCGAAGCCGAGGGTCTTCCATGGAGGTTGTCCAGTGGCGCCTTGATGTTTGTCAGCCCGTGCCAGCATGTGGATGCGATGACGGCGCTTGCCGACGAGCGACTGCACCCAGACAACATCATCTTTGCCGAGAGTCTGGAGTACTTGCTTGATGAGGTGCTGGGCCAACATGGCACATGGATGAAGGACCGGAGCACGATCGGCGTGGATGACATCGACCGTGGCAATACCTCGGAGGTCGACACTGGATGCCATGCTGAGGCGGAAAGTCAGGGAAGCGATGCAGATCGAAGACGAGACGCATTCCTTGCAGACTATCGTTCAGGATGGGATCCTTGCTCACTTGTGGACAGGACTTTCCTTTGTTTTGCTCCTGTGAGAAGCTCTCTCATGGTGACGGCTTCAACCACTGATGCCGTAAATCCGGATGCCAATCCTAGGCGCACCGAAGCTTTGGAGCCCTAGACATGGGTGGCCTCCTGAAGTAGGACACCTGTACCAGAACGGCAGATGGCAATCTAGAATCTAGACGGCTACCCGGCCTGATGTCACCTGTGCGTGCTGCAGCGCACAGTCCGTTGCTGTCAAAGGGCGAGAGAATCAGACAGAATGTGAGCACATCATGCAACGTACTCTAAAGCAATCTAGAATCCTGCACTCCTGCACCCTGAGTCTTGCCGACTTGAGACAGGGTGCCAGCATTGCATGTCTCGGTTTTGACAAGGCGGTGAATCTCCAAGAAGCAGTCATGCACCTTGGACACGAAACTGCAACATCTGACAAGTGGCTCGACCAAGGGAGACAAGGGTGCCAATGTGTATATACGGGAGCCTGACCTCTCCTGAAGCACTTGGGCTGACACCCTTGCAACTCCTTCGGCTGGAGGCTTTGCGAAGATGCTCCAGATGTACAGATCATTCTTGGACCGGGTGGCAATAGGTATTCGACCAAGAAGCAGTCATGCACTTTGGTCGGAGGACCAGCGTTGCATGTAGATCCACCAGCAAAAGCGCTTGCTCACCTTGCGGCTCTGCGTTTCAACTTCGGCCAAGCTTATGCATCTACCGTTGATATCAGACGTGAGTTGGAGTGATTGTGTTCCTTCTCGCATCGTGCTGTATTTCTTGATTCAATCTCCCCCGCTCGCGTCTGACCGCTTGCAGACCTCAGCCCCAAAATCCCATGGACGCCTTCTGCCGGAGGCTTCGCACGGCTCCTAGCGGATGAGAGGCTCACCTCGAGCTCGGCCGTGGTGGACGCTGCCGGGCTGGGTGAGACACAGTTTCAGCGATGGCTCTTCATGGGCTTAGATTCTTAGAGCTTTGGTTCGCTGTGTTGCGAGGTGGGCCTAGGGACTGGTCATCTCACGCCACCTGGAAGAACTCTCGAAGCTCCACAGCTCTGCAGCCAACCAACGAACCCATGTGGCAGCAACAGTACAAATACTGAATACAGTTTCGCCATGATGACAATAGTCGTAACAACATTCAGACGAATGATAGCAACATGTATCAATGCTAAACCATATGGTTGTGACAAGCACAGCACATTGTTATGACAAGCAGGGTGACGACAGCGATACATGCATTTTATCATGCTTATAACAAGAAGCGGTGACAATAGTCATCGCCTGGTCTGTCGTGGCATTTCAGGTTGGTAGCGGCCTCGGCAAGCTGGTGGCTGTCGCCGCGCCGGCCCTGATCTACTTCGAGGGTTCAGGGCAGAGTTTGAAGGTTTAAGTCGGTACCCTGGTGATAACAGTCGTTCTCTTTGGTCGTCGTTTCTGATCTTTGGGATGGGATGCAACCATGGAGGCGCTCCAGTCTTGTTGCGAATCTGTTTTGCCCGCCGAGAGCGTTTCTTCCGGAGGGGCATGCAAAGTTGTACGGCAAGCTGTAATTCCTGAACCCGAACGCCCGAGACCCTAAACTTTACAAGGCTATAGCCCCACAGTCTTTGACCGTGGCCCGCGCCTCAGGCTGCCACCACCCCCGTCTCTGCTGCCTGGGGCATCGAGCGCCGCCGGCGAAGCGGGGATGCAGCTGCAGGGTCATAGATTTCAACGAATTTAAGGCCTTACTGCACGAAGTGTATTGTTCAGGATCTATGTTGAGTGCCTTGTGTTGCTCTCGGATATCTATTCCAAGACAAGGAGCTCCTCGCCTTGTTCACCTCTCAGTTGTGGCTTCTTCAGAGCCTCTCATCCTGCGGACGAGGGACCGGCCGCTTTGCAGAGTGTTTTTTTTTGGGGGTTATCCATTCCCTCACCTGCGAGCATGCATGCATGCATGCATGCATGCATGCATGCATGCATGCATGCATGCTCATGCACAGTATGCGTGACGCGTGCTTGCGTGACAGCATGCCTATGTAGATACGTACATACAAAAAGGGTCTACGACCAGACTTACCTGCTTTTCGTAGATACGGATGCCGTTGGACGCGCTGCACAGATCCCAAACGCATCCGATGAGCCTTTGCTACTATCCTAGTCCAAGCAGTTACCAGGAGTACTCGTTGTTGTGATGACAGCTATTGTAGTCATTAGTGTCTTTCTTGCTATTCTCATTCTTGTTGTCTGTTCTTAATCTTACCATCGTGGTCTTGTCATTCTCAGTATTCTTTTCCATACATTTAGGGTCTAGGGTTTCTCGTCCCAAAGGACTCATATCCTCCGCGGCCGGCCAATGCCAGGCTGAGCCCCTGCCGCGCGGAAGCGGCCGCGGAGGCCAGGAAGAAGCTTGAGGCGCTCCGCTCTCAGAGAGAAAGGGAGAGAGGGAGAGCTCGAACCCTAAACCCTAAACCGTAAACCCTCATTTTTTAGGGGGTTGATGGTTTTAGGGATGTGAATGTAGGGTTTTTGTGGTTTCGAGCTCAGAGTTTTTCCGATTTTTGAGCTCTCGGAGAGCTCAGAGAGAGATGAAATGGGTTTTAGTTTTAGGGGGTAATAGCTACCAGCACTATTCCGTAGGGAGCGCTCAGAGAGGTCAGAAGAAGGGGCTTTGTGGGGTCTAAGGGTGTTGGATACGTTGTGTGTCAGAGATGTTGGGGGCTTTGGGGTTCGAGTTTTAAGGGTTTTAGGAGGGTTCATCTCATTCAATATACATCAAAGTTTCCGTGATCTTCAGAAGAAGGTTTCCAGAACGGAGCTGGGTGCAAGTGGGCGCTTGGTCGCCTTTCAAAGTTTGGACTCTGACTTGGTTCGCTGGAGGGTGCGTGGATGAAGCAGGGCTTTCTTGGCATGTCCGAGATACGCTGAGAGTTCAGGAATATCGCATGTACACTTGCATTAACTGATACACTCGTTCAGGACTGTTGTGAACCGCATGAGTGGTACACTGCAAGAATCCCGTGCCCTGGAGCTGTCGAGTCAAAGGGGGTCAGAAGCGCTGTGAGCAGCACATGTAGTGTTCAAGATATATTGAGTAATGCAAGCAGACACATGCGAGAGAAAGTACAACCGCGGAACGCATTCTAGTAGTCTAAAACTTAGAAAGCGTGCGTCCCTCGTCTGCTAACGAGGCGCTTGGTGCATTGAGCAGTGTGGAAGTTGAGCGCATGAGGCCCGGGGGGTGGACGTAGGCTCGGGCTTGGACTCTGATTCTTGAAGTTTTCAACATGATCTCTGAGCCGTCTGGATGTCTCCTGTGCTGCTTCTTTCGTTGACGTTGGTCTCGCTTCTGTGAAGAATTGATCTGCGGATGACATGCTCACGTGAATGGTCGCAATCCCCAAGCAGGAATGATGGAGAGAGTTCAGTCCCCTCAAGCGCAGGTCCTCCTCAGCCCTGACATGATCTTGATCATGAGATGCCCCCCCGCCCTTGCTCCAACAACACCCTACGCAGGCTTTTGCAGGGCAACTGTCTGGAAGACCTCTCTGAGGAGGCCCATGCCTCGACTTTCCGTTTCAAGCTGGCTTAGGGTTTAGGGTTGAGAACCCTGGACCCCTTGGGACTGGTCTTTGATTCAGGGCCGGATGGGTATGCCCAAGCTTTGGGCGCAATGTGTAAGGCGGCACATAAATTTCAGGCGACCGCTTTTTGCAAATGGCCCGACTGCAGCACTGTCCGCAGGCATTGAGTGCATCGCACTTCTTGCTCACGATGCGGCGGGTGCCCGGGCAGGAGTTATCACTTCGGTTTTAGCACTTGTCGCGGCTCTCTGGAATGAGATAGACTGAAAGCATAGGTCCTGAGGCAGCGACGTCTTTGGCAAAGCGGTTGGGTTCGAAGAGTCCCCTTCCGCCACAACTCAGAACCAGATGCTCCTCAGCACTGCTGCTAGTTCCTGATGTCAAGGGCTCAGGATCCGAGGATATTGGGGAGAACGGGCTCCATAATATACCTAGGGGACCTAGATTGCCTTTATGACCTGTCCCGAAACCCAGTTCTTATAATTGAGGCTCCGTTTAATGTGGCTGGCAAGAGGTGGGATTTCTGTTCAACCGGCCGAAAAACCCGAGGTTGGGAAGCTCCCTGCTGGCACGCGGCAAGTGTCCGCAGCTTTGCCTGCACTAGGCTTCTGTTCAAGGCCCAAGTTTTCGACGATAGAAGCCGGGACCAAGCGAGTCTGAGGGAGGATGTTTAGACTCGGAGATCTTATGACTAGGGTGTAGGGTTTTGGGTTCCCTAAACCGTTGAGGGTTGCGCAGCGGGGATCTGAAGTTTGGTGCTTCTTCCAAGTCCCGAAAAGAGAGAGTCCTCCCCTGGGTCTCCTAAGGAACTCTTATTAGTATTGTTGTAACTATGATTATCATTACTACCTATCATTAGTACTATTATTACACCCTATACCCTAAACCCAAAACCCTTCTTGCTATTATTACTTCGATGATGATTACTATTATTCTTTATTTTTATTACTATTAGAATAATCTTTCTTAATATTAATATTACTATGATTACTATTATAATAGTCATTATGATTATTCATATTATTATTACTATTATTGTTACTAGTGCTAGTAGTATTATTATTACTATTATTATTATTACTACTAGTCTTTTGGGCCTCCTAAGGAGCGCTTCCTGGATCTCCTGGCGCGGCGCGGGGACACAAAGGCCCCCCCCCAGGGTAAGGGGGAGAACGTTTTGGGGGCAGAGAAGTGTTTGGGGTTTTTGGGTTTAGGGGTTTGGGGTTTTTAGGGTTTAGGGTTTTAGGATTTAGGGTTTTAGGGGTTTAGGTTTAGGGGTTTAGGGCTTAGGGCAGATAACTCGTTTCCCTTGAAAGGATATAGCTCAAGCTACTACCATAGGGATCTATAGTAAATAATATAACGTGGTATTTTTCCATGGTAGCTGACATTCATCAGCGGCCGCATCTACTAGCATCGTTGCCGGAAAATCAAAACGACCCCAACGCCGGCAGCGACTGCTGCTTCTGCTGCTCCGCTTCTGACTCGTTGGCAGGGGTTCCATCCAGCCGCTCATGGGTGAGCACGCTCATCTGTTTGATTCATGTTGCAACGACGGGTACATAGAAGCACACAGGACCGCTTGTGACATTCTGGTGCAGGTCGTCTGGAGCGTCGGCAAGAGACTGGAGCCGCGCCCTGGATTGGCAGCTTGGGCTTGGCGTTGAGATCCCTTTCAGTGGAGTTCCGGGCTTTCGGGTCCAGGGTCCCTATCAACCGCCCTAGGCCGCTGAGCCCTACAAGCCGGGACCCGATGAGAAGCTGAGGAGTACGTCCACTCCTGCATGCTGGATGCCGAGTGGACGGACCAAGAGGCCGTCCCTGTTGTCAATGACAGGGATATACACTAATATGTATATATATATATATATGTATATATATGTATATATATATATATATATATATTAATACATATATATATATATATATACACACTAATATCAATTTTGCGGTTTATGTGTCCGGCTCAGGCTTGAAATGATTCGGTAGGGTGGAGTCGCGAACGAATCGAGAGGTCCTGTCCTCGGACCGTGCGCATCGGGCGCACCATGCCACAGTTCGCGCAGAGATTTCTGGTTCCTCGAATCCTCCCTATAGTCTCCATTGTAGTTCCTTTTTTTTGGTTTAACCAATTATATATTAAGGCTTTTATAAGGTATCCCCCAAAAAGGAACTACAATGGAGACTATAGGTAGAACACTTCGGATCTCCAATAACCTGACGCCTAGAACTCCGAAGCCGCAAAAACCCACCAAGCTCCGAGAGGATGTCCTCATCCACCGCTACTCCCTCGATTCAGCGGCCGAAGCCGCCACTCACTGACGGGCAGCATCAACGCAGGAGTCTTTTTCTGAAAGTTTGGCCCGACAAAGCATCGGGCAGACGTGGCAACGGCTCCGAGAAAAGCGCATCAAATCAAGAGCACCGGAGTTGACCAAACAGGGAAAGTAGAAGCTTCTATGAAGCTTTCGGAGCCGCTTTCGGCAGGTCCATGTCCTTGGGTCTTCTCTTGCAGCTTAGTGTTGCCTGCAACGGGCACTGAGTCTTATGTTGGCCCCCCATCTCTGGCCAGGAAGCGGTGTCGATGAGCCTGACGAGCGAGACAAAGATTCTCGTGACGCTGGCAGCCCCTGAGCAGTGTCGACTTTCTCTGCTGACGATGCATGGGTGTCTGTACGGTCTTTCAAAGTCACTTCGGCAGCAGTGTCCCTTTTGCCTCCTTGAAACTTGGCTTCCGACGTTCTGTCGGCTTTGTGTTTTTTTTTTTTGCGAAAAGCATCGTTGCAAAGCGGTCTGGCCGAGTTTTCAGAAGCTTCATGGGCAGGGGGAATTCCTCTTGCATGAGTTAACGCCGGCCCCTTTGACTGTGGTGAACGAAAGGCCGACATCGGGCACTTCGGGTCTTTGTGAGAAAGCCCAGCTAGATGCGCATGGGATCATGAGACTGCCATTGTCAGATGAATTGTGTGAGGCCAGGGGGACAGTAATGTGCCTTCACAGTAGTCTGTGCTGCCGTGGGGCAGCATCAGGTTTACGTTGGTGTGGTAGGACCTGGAATGGAGCTAGACCCGCAACGTGCAGGTAGAATGTGTTAGGTTAAGTGACGAAGAATCACACTCCGATCCTTCCGAGCCCTCGATGCTGCGACCATTCGGCTCAGACCACGAATTCAATCCCCGAGAGCCAAAATCGGTAGCCTGTACCCAAAGCCACGCATAGCAAAGCCTCTGTGATAGAGCCCACCCCACAGCCCCGAAAGGTGGAACCCGAACTCACAATACCTGGCACGCAATGTCAATCCTTAGCGCGGCCGATACGGTGCCGCCGGCGGAGCAGCTCTACTCAATCGATAGGGTCGGAGTAATCAGTCACAGCATTCCCTGACAGTCAATCTATAATACCAGACGCAAAATGACCCATAGCCTTTAGCAGCGCATTAAAGCCTCGGTATAAAGCCTTGAGCCTGCAAGCCACGTGCGTTTAAGGAGATCCTGAGCAGTTCGGCGGGGTGTCTTGAGGAGCTTCCCAGAGAGCCCAATACCCCTTCATTAAGCAATATACCCTAAATTATAAGAGACTTCATATTATGATGTAAGCTATATTCCTGAATTAAGGGATATTGGGCTCTCTGGGTTTCCAGTGTAAGCTGGCCAGCAGCTGCAGGAATGACCTCGGCACCTACATGGGCCAAGAGAACTGGAGGCGCATCCCGGGGAGGATCACAGCAGGACCCTACCTTAAGAACCCAAAACCTACTTTTTTGTAGGGTCCCTATAAATCCCATATGAGGGCTTATAATAGGAACCTACAAAGAAGTGGATTTTAGGTTCTTAAGGTAAACCTCCAGCACAGATTCGCTTGCAGCCCTCTCCTTGCAAGCGGTTGCAGCCCACACACTTGGAGCAGTCCAGTCACAGGCCTCGAGTCCCTTGGAGCTATTGATATCACAATAGGTTCAGTTTATCAACTGCTACGCCCCTCAGGCTGCGCATCCGCAAAGAGCAGTCTCGGGCGCCAAAGAACGCAGACGCCTGGCAGATTTGTATCTGTCTTGGCTGCCAGTGGGATCGGAGGGGCTGTTCGTAGCAGCAGACATGCTCGTGCGTTTTGTGAAGGTCATGATCATGCCCGATTTTTTTAAGGTTCCGAGGGATCGCCGCACTTAGGCCGCATGGTTCCAATTTTAATTGTAGTTCATTCGCTTGTCGAAGTCGGTGGCGCGGGGGGCTCGCGGGCGCAGCTTCAGCTTACGATCCTTGACACCAAAACCCGACCCTGTAAGTCTAACTCAAGCGTCTCTTCCCCCCGCAAACCCCTGCCAACCCTAAACCCTAAACCCTGAGATCCTGAAGCAAAGCCCTAAGCCCCACGACCGGCCAAGGAGTTCTCCCTGCGGCTGGCCGTGCGTGCCCTCGACGTCACGAAGAAGCCGAACCAGGCCTATCCCTGGATTTGGCGTTCAGCGATCGCTCTACTGTTTCCGGTTGCTCTTGGCAGAAGCCTTTGGTGAGTTGTTCTGCCTTGCTCTTCTTTGCGTGGGACAACACACGATTCGGGTTCATGGCGACTCGTTTGATCTACCAAGGGCGAGCCAATGTTGCCGAGATTAGAAAGCCCGCTGAGTTTGGCATAGCCACGGCCTTGCAGGGGGTTTTCGTCGTGGATGCAGGGATCTCTAGACGCAGAAGTAGGGAAAACAAACAGGGTTTAGCGTACTGACAAGAGGAAGCCTACGGCTCTGGGTCTGGGGTGGGTCTGGGGTCTCGTGCCTTTTTGGGAAGTGTTCTGGATTTGTTGAGTGTATTTTGCGATGCTTTAAGCATGTGCGGTTTCGGTTGAGTATGCGTGCTTGAAGGTTTTTGTGTGCAGCTACAAATACGTGAAATTAACTTGCATGTTTTGAAGTCATCAGTGCAGCTACTTAGTTATCACCCTGCTTAGTACGTTCCCTGATCCTTTCAACCCCCGCGTTCCCTAAACCCTAAACCC